AACAAATTTTTATTATTTCATGTGCAAAATCAGAGACAAAGTAAAGCAAGTAACGATTTGCTTTCATCATACATTTGTAAGAGTTCCTCCACTACTCTAAACTTGAGTCATTATAAAAAGAAAACTCCTGCACTTTGTAAGGAGAATATTCTGTGATATATTTTCAGTTGCGTACATCGAGGAAATTGTCAATCTTACATGGCATGTCGATCCTCCGTCTTTCCCGATTGGATCTAACGAAGAAATCAAGCTAAACGACATGACAATCACAAAGACGCGATATGAAAAATGTGCGGGCCCGTATCCGATGTTTCGCGGATCAGGTAAGCATTTACATAATCGATATCATTTCAAAAGCAGCTTGCTGTTGAACCATAACTAAATTCTCCATCATGAGAGATTGAATCATCATCCACAGCTATTATCATCCAGATCAGCAATTAACGATATTCGAGAGTAACAATCAAGTCACACAGCAACTTTACCTCAGTTGCTCACAATGAGTATGCAATGCATATGAAGCGGGGGAGGGAGGAGGGGAGGGGAGCTTTCAGCTCGCGGTTGAGAACAGAAAATGTAGTCATTACAAGTAGATCAGTATCAATAAGCAGCAGCAAAGTTGTTGAAGGAGAGGCTCAAAAACAGTCGCGTTCTCTTTTTTCCGTCCTTATACAATCCCCAGTGGCGGACCGAGGGGAGCGCCCCTTCCCCCCAATGGGATTCGAAATTTCTTGAAATTTTGCTTATATGGGTTATCAAAATTTGCAAGTGACTTGTTTATGCTTGTAACGAAATAAATTTGAAATTTTTCAGAAATTCAAAACAGCCCTGTAGAATAAATTTTTTCGCAAGCGTGGCTGCCGGAATATTTTTCGGAGTGCGTGACGCCACACACTTACATTTTAAAAGATTTTCTGCCTTCCCGGACAGAAATCCTGAGACCGCCACTGAAATTCTCTTTTAGACGCTGGCCTTGGTCCAAGTTCTGTCTTTGCCTTCTGTAAATAGCAATATCTGTAACCTTTTTCCCTAACATTAATGATTATTATAAACTAAAAATTTGCGAACAACGGCTGAAAACGTGAACGCCATTTCAAGAAAACTATGAAAAGCATATCTCCTCATATTCTTTACTTAGTGTGTCCGATCTGGATACCAATCAGATTTCGCTTGAGTTTACAAAATACGACTGAGATTCTCCTTGCTGCCAATGTATGACATTTGCTTCGTCTAAGCAAATTTAGCGGTAATTTTAATGAAGTTGAAGTTGCGGCCAAAGGAACCCTCAAAAACTCCTGTTTGCCAATGATTTATATAGTTGAGGCACTTGAAAATCAATATGTATGCTTA